GACCCCAAACGGCCACTTGCTGCCACTTGCTCCCCCGTCGGGGCCCAGCTGAGCGGTGCAGAGCTCTGCCGAACCTCCATGGAGAGAGCGGAAGGGGGTCGGGGCGCTGACGTACATGGCCAGGGGACACAATCAGCATTACAGACTCACAGACAATGGCTACTATATATATGATGACTCAGGGGATTGGTTATAGGCATTTGAGCATTTTATTTTACACATTCAATTTCTATCCCAGATCAGTAATGATTTTAACATCCCCTAAAAGCAGATTGTTGGACTATTTGAAATAAGGTGATATTTTCAAAAAACTTCCTAGGGAACTGGTATTCTCTTTCCTCCTCTCCCCTCCCTCCCCCCACACACATACCCTTATGTCCCCCACAATCTATAACTGGTCCTAACTAGTACCTTTCTTGGCAGACTCAGCCAAAAGATCAAGGCTCAAGTTTATTCCTGTGGAGATGTAACCATGCTATATTCCTCAGTGTTGGTGTTTATTAGCAGGGCAGAGCAGGAAAGCTTTCACAACTGCATCCTTTTTGTAGCTCTTTGAAGGATGACACATGGATATTGAGCCAGAGACTTGGATGATATAAAGTGGAATTGTGTCATTGATCTGAAGACCTGGCCTACAATCTTTTGAGCTGTCAGGCTAGCACTTTTCCTGGACACAAATTTAATTGTCACATAATTGATGGAAACAAATATATAAGTAACATACAAAATGGTAATATATACATGTAAACTCGGGAAACAGAGGAAAATAAAATATTTCTTATTAATTTGATATTTGTATCAAGTGTGTAGCCATTTCTAAACATCAATTACAGTGTAAGGGCCAATTCTAGGTTTATACTGGCATCCATACAAACCTAAATGGAGGGGTCTGAAGGCCAAAAGGCTGTGGATGTGGATGTGGATGTGGCCAAGAACAGCCCCCGAAAGTAGTCATCAATGTCAGGACATGAGTGCAGCCTAGTGGTAAGAGATATTCTGATTAAGTGCTTCTCTGAATAGCATTCATTAGTTGGGTCTTTTGGATCCCTGGATGTAGAATGAAAATGCTCCTTTTATGGGAAGCTCAAATGTGTGTCAACTGGCTTCTCAGAGTAGATTATCATGTTATACTTTGAAATATATCCAGGGATATCATGTTATACTTTGAAATATATCTACTCTATCCAAAACCCACTGACCACAATTTAATAATGGTCCATTATAGAGGTGACATAATTTACACAGCAGATGAGAGCTGGGGTTCAGGTGGGTGTTACACTGATAAATGTACACTGTGGGTGATAAATGGTTATTTACTGATAGATAAGATGGCTGTCAAAATAACATAACAGGGATTTCATATAAATCAAAACAAATGGAGATAGTTTCCATCTACTCACACTGACATTAAATCCTTAAAGAATGTATGTATAGTAAAACCATTATAACCAATAACCATTTGAACACACACACACACACACACACACACACACTCTCTCTCTCTCTCTCTCTCTCTCTCTCTCTCTAATTTACTACTAAGTGTATTTAACTAAATATGACTGTAAATAAAGAAAAAACTATCTCTTGGTATGTACAGGTTGCTATCATAGGTTATTATTATTATTATTGCTCTCTCTCTCTCTCTCTCTCTCTCTCTCTAATTTACTACTAAGTGTATTTAACTAAATATGACTGTAAATAAAGAAAAAACTATCTCTTGGTATGTACAAGTTGCTATCATATAGGTTATTATTATTATTATTGTTATAATTATTATTGTTAGTTTGGAGTTCCCCTTTCCCTATATATTTTACTATGTGCTGTCTAATACACGGTCTTTGAGCCCTAAGTGCCTCTCATGCCTTCCTGAAAAGTGGTGCTTCCTTGCAGGGTTGCCCATTAAACCAGACCCACAGGATCTGAAGGATGTATGGTTCTCTTGTTCCTCCTGACTCTGGGATATTTAAGAGATGCCCAGATCCAATGCTCAGAAGCCTAGAGGAACGGATGCTCAGGAACATACCATTAAACACACAGGGTGGGTCTAAACTTGCCAGCTGTCTACACTGGCCGCTTGAATTTGCGCTGTACAAAATCAGTGCTTCTTGCGCAAATACTTTCACACTCTCGCTCGGGAAAAAGCCCTCTTGCGCAAGAATACTTGTGCAAGAGGGCCGTGTAGACAGGGAAGAACTGTTTTGCACGAAAAAGCCCCGATGGCTAAAATGGTGATCGGGGCTTTCTTGCACAAAATCACGTCTAGACTGGCCACGGATGCTTTTGCGCAAAAGCATTTTTTGTGCAAAAGCATCCATGCCAATCTAGACGCGCTTTTGCGGAAATACTTTTAATGGAAAAACTTTTCCGTTAAAAGTATTTCTGCAAAATCATGCCAGTCTAGATGCAGCCACACTGATTTGAGCAGCAAGCTTTCAATTCAGGGGACCTTCTCCTGTACTTCTGCCTGTCTTGCTCAACCTCAGCCTGTCCACTCAGTCACGGTTTCTCTCCTTGCCAGTTTCTCTCCATCCCTCTGTCTGCCCTTCCTCTCATCCTGTCTCTCTCAGTTAACTCGCAGACTTTGTTTCTGTCTCTCTCTCAGACTGCCGCTTTTTATAAGAAAAAGGTACTATTGTTTTTTCAGAAGAGGCTTTTCTGAAATTTGGCCCATCTACTCTGGGCCAAATTTCAGAAAAACCTCCTCTTTTGAAAGAGCCTTTCTTCCTTGTGAAACGAGGAAGACAGGACTTCCAAAGGAGTGCGTCTGCTCTTTTGCAAAAAATGTTGGAAGAGCAGATGTGTTCCCTGGATACAGTAGAGTTTTTCCAGGATATCTCCAGTATCCCGGAAAAAGTCCTGTAGTCTAGTCATAGCCTCATCTCCCTACCTTTGTCCCTCCATCATCCCCCTCTTCTCCTCCCACTTTCTCTGGGGGAGAGGATGGGAACAATGACAGTGCTCCATCATCCCCCTCTTCTCCTCCCACTTTCTCAGGGGGAGATGATGGGAACAATGACAATGTACTCACTTGAAATCATATTTCCCAATTTAGGGTCGAAGCCCTTTATTCTATTTACATGGAGGAAGCACTGCATGCTGGCCTCCAAACTAAATTTCTCCTGCTTGGAAGCTGAGATCCAGACTAGCACAGGAAATTGTAGTTTATATCTCCCTGTAAGGCTGAGACAAATTCAGTGAAGCTGTCCTAACAGTAAATGAGTAATGCTCAATGACACATAGCTTTTATTCCCTTTTATTATCACTAATGTTATTTAAGTAATGACCTTATTAATTCACAGTTTTACCTGGCACAATATTTTACTTTATTTTCAATATTATTTGCAATTGAAATAGCTGAAGTAGAGGAAGGTGGTAATTAGCAGGGCTTGTTGAGTAAATTTTAAAGGATCCAATTTTTCATGACTTTCAGGATTATTTGGATACGACAAACCTGCTCATTTGTGCTAGTTGCTGTCTCCCCCCCCCCCTTTTTTTTTGTCAGAAGGGTGTCTTTACTTATTACTTTTGGTACCAATCATACAGCCATATTCCAAATCCTGCCTGGCCCAACATAGAGATGCAGGGACAAAGAGAATATAAATTACCTTCAAGATCCCTCCCCTCTCCAAGGGGCAGGAAAAATGTCAGTTCAGTCCTTAAGGAACTCAGGGATGGTTCCCTTATTGCACCTCAAGGGCATAATTCACCCTGAATGGAAGGGAACTGACAAGCGAGAATTAGAGAACAAATATCGCTGGTCTAAAGGATGGTGAGATGTGAACACTTCACTGTACTCTCATTGCACACCCAAGAGATTGGGAAGTAATTGTATCTTTAGATGGTGTAGCTCCACACTACCCCAGTGCATCCCCAGCATAAGTCAAACTATGATACTTAAAATCTGACATTTAATTACAGGGGAAATAGTGACCACGCATGATGTGAATGCCATTATTTTCTGTTCCATTTACATTACATGGCAATGTGTATTACATGGAGTGGAATGAAAGAGTAGGATGTAATCAGTACACAAACTCAGAGTGGCCTGAAAGAGATTATTAAGTAATTTTCATTTATTTTGAGTTCATCTTTATGTACTGAGAAGAGTCAATAGGCCCCTTGCGGTGTAAATGTATACTGTTAGTTTTCCATGAATAAAAGCTTGAAGAGCAGATGGTTTGTGCCTACTAAAGATAATAGATAGGACTTTTTGAGAGATGTACTAGCAAACTTTAAATTTGAATGTTGTATTCTGTTTCCCTCATAGGAATGGCCATACTGGGTCAGACCAAAGATCTATCTAGCCCAGTCTCCTGTCTTCCAAGAGTGGCCAATGCCAGAGGCCCCAGAGGGAGTGAACAGAATAGGGAATCATCAAGTAATCCCTCTGCTGTCACCCATTCCCCGCCTCTGACAGGGGCTAGAGACACCATTCCTACCTATCCTGGCTAATAGCCATTGATGGACCTAACCTTCATGAATTTACTTAGTTCTTTCTTGAACCCTGTTAATGTCCTGGTCTTTGCAACCTCCTCTGGCAAGTAGTTCCACAGGTTGTATGAAGAAAAACTTCCTTTTGTTCATTTTAATTGTTCCTTCAATTCTCCTTTTCAACCTCAAATAGAGACAGTATTCTGTCCTGAAAGGTCAAATTTTTATGTCCTGATATTCAATAGCTACTGTTTTCAAGCCTAGAAGTTGTCTGTGTTTTCTCTGGCATCTGAAGGGATGTATCCATAACTATATATCTGCTCATTACCACAATGATTTTACAGAAACTTATGCACATGAAACTATCCATGTGCTTAAAAGTCAACATGCCTGTGGGTTCAACAGGACTATCCACATAATAAAGCCAAGGCTACATTATAAGTTATTGCAAGTTCACAACTCCCTTTCTCAATGTAAAAGGACTCTGTAAAATAGGATATAAATATTGTAAAATAATATAACTGTTCAGCAAGGTGTGGAAAACGAGTTTGGTTCTTGACTTTCTTTACCTTCAGGAGACATCTCTGGAATGGTGACTTCATAAGGTCCACCCAAGAACTTTGGTTCATGATCATTGACATCCTGAACTTTGATGATAAATTCTGACTCAGGTTCAACAGGCAGCTGGGTATTCCTGTTAATAGCCTGTGCTCTTAGAGTGTAGAAGGGTTTCTCCTCTCGGTCAAGTTTCTGTGTCACATGAATTATACCATTATATTCATCAATAGTAAAAATGCTTCCAGCTCCATCCCCAGTCAAAATATATTTGAAAGTGCCATCGTGTTGGTCAGAATCAGACTTCAGCTATAAGAAAAAAACATCTATTTATTGTCTGGGTAACAAATAAAATAATCATAGTTCTTTTGTTTAGACCTATATGAATCTGATTAAAAGCGAGCATTTATTGGGTTGTATAGTAAGTGGAGGTTATAAGGTATTGCAATATGTCTATCCAACCATGGAGCAGTTGTTGTTGAGTTATGGCCACTACTGAGATATACTATTAGTTTTAGCTTAACTTTAAACATAAATTAATTTCAACTGAACTTAGTTGAATATATCCAGATGTATGAGTGCTTTGATGAATACCTATGTAACAGGATACTGAAGAGGTAAAAAACATTTTTTCCAAACTATTTTACTGCATATGAGAACAATAGGCATCTCTCTCTCTCTCTCTCTCTCTCTCTCTCTCTCACACACACACACACACACACACACACACACAAATCTAAAGAGTGTCACTTTACTTATACAGCAATACTAAATGGATACAAAGTCATCTGAGAACAGAAAGATGGAGTAAATCTGTGTTGCTTCTTTTGAAATAAATGATTGCTGTTTCTCATTTTTACAAGGTGATCTCTGTTCCCTTAGCTAAGACTAGGTTTATGATAAGCTTTCGACTAATCATACTGAGCCATGGGGACCATTTTGGTCTATCCGCACTTGTTCATGCAGTCATGATTATTTTCTTAGTATTAACACTAGCTAATAGCATTTTTGTCACCGTTTATGCAGTTTTAACATGCCAAGGATCTGTAATTATGGTATTATTAGAACAACAATTTCCAACATGTCCTTTATTTTATAATGTTCCATTTATTTCCTTTTGACTTTGAATAATAAATAGTGCCCATGCATAGGCTCTGAGCACACTGCCAATTATATACAATTAAAAATTCAGTCTTAGTCTCAGTCATTTCATTACTTCTGCCATGCAGCAGCTCCAAATACAAATTTCAACCCATTAGCTAATGCTTCACTGTTCCCTACTTATCCATAAAAACCAATGAAACAAACGTGTTGTATATCTCACCCTGAAAGTTGACAACTCCCAGCTATTTGGGGCCAGCGAAACGAAGGCTTAGTCTTGCGAAGAATGAATTCTTAGTCATTCTAGTCTCTTTTATGTCAAAGGGGAACATAAATCAGGGCCTCTTCTGATTGCTACTATATTAAACTTCTAACAACCAGGAAACAGAGTGAAGGTACACACCAGCCATGTCTTTTTCACAGCCTAACCACACCCCCTTCTGGATTTGGCAAGAGCTGTTAGGGAAATACCGTAATTTTGTTTTAGCTAGGGCTGCCCTCATATGAAGACATGAGAAATGTGCAACTTTATCTGATGTGTTGTGTCCCACAGAATTCTATTACTTTATTTATCTGCATGCACTCCATCTGCCCTTTGCTGAGTTAGGGACAGGTGTTTTGATGGTAGAGAGATTACTTACAGCAGGATATCATAGCTGACATTGTGTTTGGAGGAAAGGAGCAAATGTTCCAAAAAGGATCACATTTCTCTTCTTTCTGCATTGAGTTATGGAGACTGTGCAAGGGGAGGAGAGCAATAATGTGTTCTAGCCATGGTTAGCAGTCTGGCTGTGCCTGTGACAGCGTGCCACAAGGCAGACGAATGGCAGATCATGTTCCAGAAAGTCTTTAATAAAATGTCCAAAGGGTGGTAGCAATGGTGAGTAAGGAGGGTTTGTTCAGTTTGGATGAAGTAGTCAAGTATGGGCCAGGCAAAACTAGTTGATTTTCACTAAGCTTGCTCTAAATATGATTTTTGCCTTAATGAGGATGTGTTTCTCCTACTGCATCCACATGTGGTGCCCTCTCCATTGTTTCTTATCACATGAAAGGATGGAATGCTACAATGTCTATCAGGACAGATTGTGGCATCACTCAAAGAGGACAGAGTTAAGCTTGTGGAGGACGAGGATGTGAACCTTAACTATATATTTCCTGGTTTTCAGAGCTTTACGTTTGCTTTGTTAATTTTCCTTGGTTTTCAGAGAAGCAGTAATGAGAGGAATATGACTGAACTGCAACTGTGGAGTGCACAAGGACACTTTTTAAGAAAAAAAGTTTCTGCCCCTCATCTATCAAATTGACCTTTCTTCTTGCTTCTCTGTGGCACCAGTAGGGTTGAAAGGACCATAGCTAGGAAGGAAGATAGTAACTAAATATGAAGATGTTAATAGATATATGAAAATAGCCTGTTTGTTAGTTCAATGGCTAACATGGAGGGAGGGGGAAGTATAGGGCCAATCTTAAAAAAACTAATTCTTCAATAACACAGATTTTTTAATGTTTCAACTCATACTACAGTTTTGTTTGATCCACAATTAAACATTTGATGTTTAATCTTTACAAAACAAATAACATCCAGATAAAATTCAAAATGAAAAGCTCTTTTAAATTGAAAACATAATTTTAACTTTGTCAATTTTTTTCAGCCATTCTTATTGAAATTCACTGTGAAATCAGGAAATGTTTTCCCCTACCCAAAATCCATCTACTGTGGAATACCAATTTTCAAGACAATCTTAAATTTAAATGAATGGAGATTGCCTATCTCCTAGAACTGGAAAGGACCGTGAAAGGTCATCAAGTCCAGTCCCCTGCCTTCACAGCAGGAGCAAGTACCACCCCTGACAAATTTTTGCCCCAAATCCCTAAATGGCCCCTGCAAGGATTGAACTCAAGGATTGATATGCATGTGGGTTTTGCTTCAATTTAAAACTAAAATCAGCATCTTGTTGTAGAGGCTATACTGAGGAACCCTTTGACCAAATAATCATAACTTAAACTAACAACTTTAATGCTGACTATAATGTGGGATAACCAATATTATGGATGGGTAGAGTTACTACTCCAGTGAAGAGTTCATCAGGATTTCCATTTTAATATAGGAGATCTACTAAAAGTTTATCTTTTGGGTTAGAGTAACATTTTTAAATGTCAGCTGTAACTTGCACTCCTTGGTGTTTCTATAGGTTTTCTATAGGATTTTCCATATACTAGAGGGAGAATTTAATTTGAGATTTTCTGCAACCATTTTAAAAAATGCATGTGATTGGGTTATTTTTATTTAATGTTTCCTTTGGAGCCTTTTACAAAAACCTTAGTATTTTGAAGGCTGAAATGAATAGGTGTGAACCTTTGGTTTTGTATATTGGATCACTTATTTTAGGAAACTGAAATTTCTTTTTTAATGTTTATTTTTATTATAAACATAAATTATCACTGTAATCAATGGCAATGACCTAGAACTACATTAGTCATTCAGAAGCTAACTCCATTCCTTAGAACATGGATCTCTAATATGGTCAGGGATCTTAGCTTTCTGTGATTTAAAAACATAAAATTATCTAATAAGTAGCCATAAAACCCCATGTTTTTCTGTGGTTAAAATGAAACGCTGAACTTTAGTTTTCCTAGCAAAAGTATATAATGGTATCAGATGAATACAGTGGAACCCTGTTTATCTGATCTAATTGGGTCTGGAGCCAGATCAGATAATCCAATATAATCTGGAGAGTTTCAGCCAGGAGCGGCTCGAGGAGAGCTGCTGGCAACTGGCTCCCTAGGCGGAATGCAGGATTGTCGCCCCTACCTCCATAGCCCTCAATGGCGTGACGTCATCATTGGGTGCTGCGTTAAGCGCAGCACCCTAGACAACTGCCGAGGTTGCCTACATCCGCCCCTGGTTTCAGCCCATGCAGTGGGCTTCTACTGACAGCCTCAATTCTGTTATTATGAGAGATGGATAATGGAGACCCAGAGAAACAGGGTTCCACTGTATACGTTTTTGTTTTTTCACATCTATGCTGTGGAGCTGTTTCCCTCCATTATCTCTAAATACACGGTCTACACAAGAAACCCATTATTTCAAAATACATTTGAAATATCTGGCTTCTTATTCCAGCTTCCTGTAATCCTCATTGCACGAGGGATAAGGGACATTTCAGAATAGCGCTTTATTTCAAAATAAGATCAAAATAATCTATGCAATTTGCATAGCACAAATTATGTAGTTTATTTCAGATTAAGGGTGCTGTGTAGATGCACCCAAAATGAAAAATACAATGATTCCTATGAAAATGCAAATTCTATGTTTTTCCACATTTTTGTCTATGTTGGAACAAGTGACAGTTAATAACAATGAAAGTCTGTCTTTGGACTCCTGTTGATGCAGTTCCCTGCAGGGCCTTCTTTACTATAAAATCACTGACTGATCTTAGATTGTCACTCCCCTGACTGCCAAAAAGAAGATACTTCTCAGTGGAAAATCACAAGTCAATATGACTGATTTAAACAGCAGTTAAACATCGTTAAGTTAATAATAACCCTCAATTACAATTCCATCTCAATTTACCTATAGCACTGGGAAGAACAAAAAGGCAGGCTTCTAGACATTATAGTAAGGGTCAGGAAAATTATAATGTATCTTTTGCAGGAAACTAAATTCCTATCCAGAAAAGCATATGCTGTGTCTACACTTACTCCTTTAGAAGTGAGACATCATACTTCCACAGTAGTTACTTTGAAAGGGCTGTGAAAAAGTAATTAATGAATTTTGAGCACTTCACCCTTTGGGCCCAATTAAATTTTAGTGCTAGTTAATTAGCAGTTAAACTTATTTCAGTCATTCATCTAGAAAATGCCTTACAGAAAAGGACACCAAACCTGGAGATTACTAATACTTGTGGCTACAAATATAATAATAATAATTAATTAATGACAATAATAATAATAAACAGAGCAGGAGATCTTGTGAAGAAAATCACCTTAATGCACAATTTTAAAGGAGGTTGAAAAAGAATTGCTCATTGTTCTAAAGCTACAATAATTTAATGAACCATGAAGGTTCCTATAGCTTCTCAGTGGTAAAAGGATTTAGTATTAATCTGCTTCATTAAAAATTAATGAGGGGTAAATCACCTACTACTTAATGTAATAGAAAATCATGCTAAATACTGTTTGTCAACTGCACTGTGCTCAGTATGGCTGCTTCCATACAGTGCCAAAAATAGCATAAGCACATTACCAGATGTTGATAAATGAGTCCTTAGCTCTCATTCAGAATATAAAAGGGAAATTTAAAGTATGATGTCAACACCTAGGCTACATCTACATTGGCATGATCTTGCGCGAATATTCTTTAACACAAGAGTTCTTGTGTTAAAATATTTGCGCAAGAGAGCATGTGCGTTTGCGCAAGAGATGTGCTTTTGCGCAAGAGCATCCTTGCCAGTGTAGACGCTCTCTTGCGCAAGAAAGCTCTGATGGCCATCTTAACCATCGGGCTTTCTTGCGTAAGAAATTCATGTTGCCTGTCTGCACTGGCCTCTTGCGCAAGAACAGTTGTGCTAGAGGGCTTATTCCTGAGCGGGAGCATCATAGTTCTTGCGCAAGAAGAAATGATTTCACACATTAGTACGTTAGTGTTCTTGTGCAAGAACTTCCCGCCAGTATAGACAGGCAGCATGTTTTTGCGCAAAAGCGGCTGCTTTGGCGCAAGATCATGCCAATGTAGACACAGCTCTACTGTGTGTGATTTTCCTTTCGGTTGCATAATAAATTTGGTGTTGAGGAAGGTGAAGGACTTATAATGTAGCACGGGTAAAAGCGTGACATATATAGGCCCCTGACCCTGCAATGAGCTCCCTGATTGCAAAATCAGAGCCACAGTAGGAGCAAATGTGCACACATCTGACACATCTTTCTGCCAATGCACTTTCCTCCTGCCTCAGAGCACAGACTCCCAAATCTCTAGAGGTGATTGATCCTTCTATGGCCAGATTTATATTATGCAAACAGTTGTGGTTCAACTTGTTAAATCAAAATGCTGCACTATAGTTTACTGTACCTCCCACAGAACTTACCTGGCCAACATACAAAGGTTCTGTTAAAGTCTGTTCTTCCAGCACAAAAAACTGGCTCCATAACCAGGCACGTTTCACTCTCTGAGCTGCTGCAAAAGGCCGGTTCATTTTGTGGGTGTTACGGTTCTGCAACCTTGAAAAGCAAGGCCACAGCTGACCAAGTGTTAGCAGAAGAGATAGCCAAGTATAACAATTCATACTGAAATCGCCTTTCAGTCAATATTCATCTGTGGAAGGAAAACAAAAAAGAAAAGGTTTTACAAAGTAGCTCTTCCCCAACCACCTTGCAAATATTGATTCTGTGTTAAGCTAAGAGATCATTTTCACTGTTAAAAATTCTTCCTATTTTCAAAAGAGAAGAACCAGAACAAAGTCAACTTCTGATTAAAAGAGAGAGAGAGAGAGGTATTTTATTAGGGATTCAAAAGTCAAGTGTTCAATTTTCTTCTTATGAAATCCCTTCAGAGGCATTTTCTATGCAAAAAAAAAATCATCCTTCAATTAATTCATCCTCTAAATTAAGCTGGGTAATTGTATTGTGCAGGCCAGCAATAATTTGATTGGAACAGTTGTACATTTCTGCTTAGGGTTCATTTTGAGCTGCAGTCATAGAACTGCCTGAAGGGTGAATAAGTAGCATTGGTGATCCTAATGACTGGCAGCTGAAATAGAGGAACTCATATAATTTTTTAACCTTCTCATTCACTCCCTCCTATCTCAACAAAATCACCCTGCTGAAAGGTGCTAGTGTGGCAAGAAGAAGCTGCTAAAATGTGCGCCTCTCTCCTTTCCTGATCAATAGAAATTAACTGTCTCATCCAGTTCTACCTCCTCTGTCATTTCATGTTTTCAATTAAACAGACAAAAAGAAAATAGAGCCTGGAAGCCTGGGGGTTCTAAGAGTCAGTATAATTGATCACGCAAAATATTCCTTAGGTAAGCCAAGACTTTGCACAAGATGTATGCTATTATCATTTGCTATGAGTGGTTTCTGCATTGACAGAATTAACAGAAATGTCAGCTTGAAATAAAAGATAATGCTTGACTGAGAATGGCCATCCTCTAGGAGGTGATATTCTGCAATACTTGGCTATGCTAAAGCTTTGGTCAAAATCCAGTTTCTAGGACAGGAGGTTGAGGGGAAGGATCTATGTAGAAGAAAAACTGTTTTATGAGTTGACTCCATGCCAGTCAGCCTCAAGGTAGGTCTACACTACGTTCTATTTTTGAAAGAGGCTATGCACATTCTGCAGGAAAGTGAATGTAGTCTGGATGCATTTTTTGGGGGGAAAAATCCCTTTTTTTTAAAAAAAAACCACGTAAGCC